CGGGGGCAGCGCTCGTACGTGCGCTCCAAGCGCTCATAGAAGAGATCCTTGGATGCCTCATCCTTCTTTTCCGTCGGGGCATGGGCGCAGATAAGCGAGATCTTGAAGAATCCCGCTTTGATGCGGATTATGGCTAGACGCTCGTCCACCGGGGTGAACGACAGTACTCGGCGACGGAGTCTCTCCCACCAGAAATCCAAGTCCGAAGTCTCATTCGAGGCTTTGCATTGTTTCTTCACTGGAAGTGGTTTTTACGTGGCGGGGCCCAAACCCAGCGCACAACCCATTGCTGGGACGGGATGTCTAAAATTCCACATTCGCAACGTCATCAAAATTAAAGAACAAGTTGTATGTATAGAGGCATGGCCATAGAGAGGAGTTTCGGGCCCGGGCTGAATCTCGAATGTGGGCCCCTAAACACACCCGCCTAGGGTTAACATTTGTCGCGTACGGCCATTTCCCAGAAATTAAAGAATTTGATTGGTTGGATAACGGAGAGGGGAGGACGAAAGCATATCAATCGTACATATGTACAGTGAAGGGCAAAACTGTAACATGTTGTAACACTTTTTACTTCAGCCATCCCTATCTTTCCAAGTTTTGACTTTCATACTTTTGTTGTATATTATTATTGGTACACCTGTACTTCATCTCTCATAACGATTCGAAGTCAATCCAACAATAATAATAAAACCAGCAGACAAAAATGTAAATTAATGCTAATGTTACAGATTTGCACTGATATAGTTTAAAAAACTTTTTAACAATTTTTACGAAAAAAAGAACTATTAACACAATGTGCAGTACCCTTTTACTTTTTTTTTAGTTCCTTTCACAGCTCTTGTACGGGATTTTACGGACTTGGATACTTAGTAAACTGTGCTTTTAGTTGATTTCGCAAATTATCGATGAGATTCATGTCCGCGGATTGTGGAGGTCATTTAAAATGAGCCAATTTTAGCTTATGTATCCAGTCTTTGCCAACCTGTGCGTGTGTTTTTGGGAGATTTTTCAGCAGAAACTCTAATTTTTTCGACTACATCTTACAAGTTTCGTTGAAATATGAACGGATACTGTTCCTTACTCATAATGCGTACTAACGGACCAACAAAATTATTTAAATACAACCCGAAACTATTATTGACCGACCACTGTCATTCACAGTTTGCCTTACATGATGCGCATGGGCTTAATTTGGGCCTTTGATTCAATACCATGCCCGGCCATCTGATTGAAAGCGATTAATTTAGTCTTGTCAGAACACATAATCTTCACTGGATGCAGTAGCAAATATAAACAACCATGAATTCTATGCATCTAAAATTAGAAATATACTTATAGGTACATTCCCGAAAATTATCTTGTTATGGGTACCAGGGTACGCACAAATGATCGGAAATGAAACACGGATACATAACCACCAATTCCGACACCCCATCTTGTGCCTGCAATCAACAAACACGCCTGTCTATCAAAGATTTCTTTATGGACTGTCCTCTACTTTCTAGACAGAGACATATGCTGTTCAAAGACTCCAATCCTATACTTTCCCTTTCCTCCCCTTCCAAGGAAGCGATTACTAAAATTATAAAATTTCTGAAAAGTACAAAATTATATTTTCTAATCTTAGTAAACAGTTACATATGTATGTACAATAGTATATTATCTAATTAAGCTTAAGGCCTTGTTGCTATAGCTTTGAAAATTCGCTTTTAAGTCTAGTAGACATAGGAGCTAATAGGTTAAAATAAATAAATAAAGTTTTTCTTTACTTGTTTATGTGTTTAAATAATGCTACGATTTTGGTTTTAAACTATGTATACTTCATTAAATGTTGTTATTCAAGTATTTATGTAAGTTAACAAGAAGATGTAACTATATCAGTAATTATGTTCACTTAAGTACCCGCATCGAGGTACTTAAGCGGGTTCTTTTAAGTACCCAACTCGCCTAAGTACCTCAAAAAGCTGACATTTTTCATGAGGTACTTAAGCGGGTTTTACTGTACCTTAAGCGCTTCTGTAATAGTGGCTGCATCGCTACTTTCTGCTACGTTCCCAAGATATCAGACCGTAATATTTTTTGACAGACTTCCTTTGTCCTTGGGAACACTTTAGGCTATATTTTTTCTCAGTCTTAACATTTTCAAGTAGCAAACTCCAAAATTTTTTGCTACTTTTCCTGCAGTCCCGCGTTTCCGCAGTAATTCTATTATTTACATTTATGGTTCCTGATTAACCATATTATTTACTGGTGATCATTTCTTCAATAAATTACACTACAGAAGAAAGTCATCTCACTTCCAACCAGTGTGCAAACCCCTTTTTATTTTAGTGTGGTAGAATCGGCACAAAAATGTGGTAGATTTGAATAAGATGTGGTAGAGTTTCCAATTCATATTTTTATTTGGTATGTATACATATCGCACACCCTCGTCAAAAGAGGCACAACTCACAAGTTAGATCGGGAAATATAAGTGCTAGTGGATCGTACAGATTCCACGCAATTGATGCAAAAACAAGTATAACATTAGTTTTTTAGTAAGAGAATATAATGAAGAAAAAAACATTTCATTAATTTGAGAAAAATCCTACAGATTGATTTATGCAAAAAAATCTACCAAATTATTTTTCCATTGCATAATACTTTAGCAAATATTAATATTTGGATTTCAGACATATTAAAAAGTTAAGGCACATATATTTTAAGACAAAATTTATTATGTACCTTTTTAAAAATTTATTTATTATGTGAAAATTGTAAACAAATGTTCTGTCTAAAAATGTGGTAGATTTTAAGCCTTGTGTTGTAGATGTGGTAGACAACCAAATTTTAAAAAATATATGGTAGATCTACTACAAATGTGGTAGAGGTTTGCACACTGCTTCCAACTAAGTAAAAGATAACTGTAAAATGCAAAACTGAGAGTGAGTGCAAAACTGTAATATTTGCCTCAATTTGCATTTTTGTTTGCTGTTTTTTATTGTTGTTGTATTGACTTCAAATCGTTATGAGAGAGTGAGTAGAGATGTACAAACAAGAATATACAACAAAAGGATGAAAGTCATTAGAACTTGGAAATTTAGCGGTGGCTGAAATAAAAAGTCTTACACCATGTTACAGTTTTGCTCGTCACTGTATGTACATACAGTGCCCTGCGCTGGGCATGCCTGATGTGTATTTATCAGAGCTCGCAAATAACCGCCTGCATATTTTTCGAATGCTGTCTGCTCACCAGGCATGCCAAATCTATTATTTTTTCAAAAATTCATATCCTTTCTCACAGTTTTGTAGCCCTAGAAAGAAGGCTTAAAAAAGTGGATGACTCAAAGAGTTCAAGTGAACTTATAAATTGCGCGAAAATAAAAAATTTTCATTTGTTTTGTGGTTTGCAATTTATCAACATCTTATGAAATATACTCTGGAGCACGGGGCCCCCTTGAGAACTCCGGGCCCGGGGGGAAAAGTCCCCGATCCCCCACCCCCTGTATAGAGGTTAAGCTAAAGCTCCATAGCAGGTTTTTCAGGCGTTGCGGCTTGAGGAGCTCAAGCCTGAAAGATGATTTAGTGCAATTGTTTAGAAGCTGATCCACAACTGAAGTCCGAAAAGCCTGAAAGATGCTGATGTGTTTGGAGCGTCCATGTCTATTGTTTTGTTGTTGCTTTTCTTTTCGTAAATTAATTTTAGGGGTTAGAATAGAACATCCTATGAGGTATTTCTTTGGTTCTAGGGTATTGAGTGCTGATTTATCAAGCCGTACATGTTTAACAATTACATAGTTAATAATTGAACACAAAGATTCCTTACTCATGGAATATCCCTTTAGTTTAAAGAATGACTTACCCCATCATGAATGATGCTTTTGAATGTATGCTCAAGCTTCTTCTTTAGTCTGTAAGACTGCAAAATATCAATTATACCAATGTATAGAAGCAATCGCTCGCCTTTTTCACTTCTAGCAGGGATTCCACCAGGTCTGTTTATTGACAAATGATACAATGAATGAATGAAATAGTTAAATAAATACAACTTCTCTACTAACGGAACATCGTCTTCGTCATCTATGGGTTCGCTCTCTGCTTGAATACTTTCCATAGCTGTAGAGTGAGCCACCAAGCGTTGCCGATTTGCTGATCTGCAAAATTAATACATAGATATGTACACATGAATATACTGTAAAAATACATTAGGGAGGTTCCATGGGAAAGTGGACATCAGTGCAAAAATTATTTTCTTTATAAAACTAGCAAACGTGTGGATAAGACATTTGCAAAAATTTTGAATCAACTAAAAAATAACAAATTAAAGCTTTAAATGCATTTTTATTACCTTTTTTACGTTGTGAAATCAAGTTCTAAGTACATATTTTGATGGAGTTTAAAGTAGGTTGTGTTGAATGCACTGTCAAATAATTTGCGATTCATAATTCACGTGTTTGGCAAGAAAACTATATAGTAGAACTCATCTGCTTTTAATAAAATTGTGCTATATGTTAAAATGTGTGAGTGCTTTATACATAATATGAGTTCTTATTAAGCAGTATTGGTCTTGTCCCACCCGTGCCAAAAAAAAAAAACATAAGTTGTTATATTTAATTACAGAAGTTGAGGTTGTGTTTTGTGTTTGTTACATAATGCTAGAAACTCATTGCAAATATTTACCACAATTGCATTGTCGTTTCCACGTAGTTAGATAAGAATAGTTCTACAGAGAAGCATGTCCCACCCGTGACAGCCATGGTGGGACAGTTGTCAGAGGTAGGTTTACAGGGCTGATAAGCTTTATTTGTTTGTTGAGGTGAACGCAGGGGAGGAGGGGGGATGCGCGGACTCGGCCATTATCTATATACCCTTGTGGTCAGCTAATTAAGTTAAGTTACATTTTGACCAGCTTTGGTTTTTTATTTTGTTAATCTAATGTTAATTTATTTTTATAAAAGGCTAGCACATTAAATAACCAGAACCACATAAATCCACATTTAAAACTTCGTACAAAAATTATACAAATTCAACAAACCTTAACAATTACACCCAACAATTTTAAACTTTTTGTTCCCAGTTTTTAGAAAAATTCTAGGTATGTAGTTTTATAGCCCATTAAATTTAAGTAGGTAAAAGTGAAAATTTTTAAAAATTTTTCTGGCTGACGGTGCTAGGCATTTTCTTTTATAGTTATAAAAGGCACTATCCAAAGACAAAACGTGAGTGAATTTAACCCCTACTTGGCTTCTTATATTCTTTAATAACTAATCTTTATATATGGACCACACTAAAAGCTCCTTTTAATATAAAAACTCGTTCATGTCCTACCCATGACAAACGTTGTCCCACCCGTGACCGAGGAATTTCGGATTTTTTGTATAATAAAGCCATCATTTTTTTGTAGTTTCTGCTTCGTTTGTGTTGCAGGTTCTTTGTTTTATTATAAGACATCAAGTTCACACAGACAAGTGAAATAAATTCGCAGAGTTTCCGTAAAATATATCTGCTCCAAAAAGTAGGTTCTTTTTTTTATCCCACCCGTGACAGAAGAAATATGTAAATCAGATTTTTTCCATATAAAAGTAAGCTGGAATTTTTTTCATATTTTGTAATAACTCTTATAATAGTCAATTAGATGTAGCTTTATCAAAATGTAGAATTTTTGAGTACCTTATACATAAATTTAAACAATAAAGACAATTTTTTCTGTACAAATGTCCAACCCGGTGGAATCGCCCATTAGTGAAAATAGTTTCAATTTGTTAGCCCCTTAAATAACCTGTCCACCCAAGCCTTTTTTTTTGATGTTCCCTTGCTACCCTCAAAGCGATATTTTATAAAACATTAAAACTCAGCCTCAAAATTATAATTGATTATTTGCCGTTACTTAGTTGTGATGTTAATACCCCCGCCATATAGTTTCTAGGGTTAAGGTACATACATATATACTACACTACTACTGTCCTTAACCTTTTTTTAGATAGCATCCACAACTTACCGATTTCGATTCATGCCCGCCGATGAATCTCTTTCGCGTCCTTCTGAACCTCCCGCCGCTCCGCCATCACCATCTGGTATGTCCTCAACATCGGAGTCTTCGGCCAGTGGAGCTTTCGGTTTTTTACTTTCACTTTTCTTTTCTTTACTCGCCTGATCCAGGTTATGAACACCAAGTAATAAGGAATAGTCCATTATCTTAAATGATTCTAATACCGTGCAGTCGCGTTGAATTGTTTTGATGAGCGCGCTATATGTTTCAGCTTCTAGAAATATACCGTTCGGATGTTGTTCCATAAAGTCTAAATCTTTGTAAGTTGGTGATTTTTTAGATCGCTCCGCTTTTGATGCTTTTCGCTTGAATGTCGAACCTTTGAGATCATATTTCAAATGCATTTTAACAGATGAGGGCAATAAATTGTTCATAACCACCAATCGAATATTTTTACTAGTGCTCGTCTGTAGGCAGTAGAGACCAAAAAATTTTGGCAACAAAGTCCGCGGATTTTGATTCAAGTTCATATAATAGCTAATATGATTGGCAAAATAAACTATATTAATTATGAATATTCATAAAAATATTGAGTGTTTTTAAAGACAAATCAATGAAATCCAACTAGTACTGCAAAAGCTTACCCAGGCAAAAGCTTTTGTAAAAACTCCCCTTCTTTGTGTTGTACAGTTTTTATTATGAATTCATCATCAGCCGTTAAATAAAAAATGGAACCAGAGGCGCCCGGGTTGGACAGCTCACGTAAAGGCCAAGAGCACATAGACATCTATTTTTTTTTTGTTTTTAGCCAGAAAATTTTGTAATACATACATATTTGAAACTGGGGTTACTACTCACCATAAAGTCATCTGGTTGTATGCCGAACAAGTCCCTAAAATATCGGAATGCAATAGGCGCATAAATTTTATATCTGAATTCACTGTAGTGGTGGGCTGGCGTAAGGCTAGATCCTTCTGGGGGGAAAGTTATACTTTCGATTTCGAAAAAGTCCATCATTAGGAGATCGCGTTTCGGTTTAGATGCCAGGCTTCCGACCTACGGGAAAATATTTCATTAACAACATAACTTGTGTGTCTATATCAAGGTGAAAACCGAGAATATTTGGCAAAAATACAGACTACATCGGACCAATTTTAGTTTGGCAAGATATTGGCGTAGGCCCAAATAGTCTCGATTGTAAACATAAGTACATGCATACATATAAAGGTCGCTGCTTCTGTAATATTATGCTGTATTTGAACAAGTGGGTTTTGCCAAATACGGTAGAAATCGTAAATGAATACTAACGGTATGTTGAATGCCCAACTGAATAGAGCCCATTATCTGGCTAGTTTGTATTTTTTTATAGGTGATCTCACCGCCCTCCCCAACGCGCCGATGACCAATCTTGCGCTCCTTGTCCCCTTTATTTCCATAGCGGGATAAGCGGTGTTGGTTAATCTAAATGAAAAATTTCAACCATTTCGTTAATAATGTTGCAATGGATGAAATTACTTACATCTGAACTGGATGACTGCAGATTTGGATCTGTAAAATGTTTGAAAGAAAATAAGGTTAAATTCACACGAATGATGTTAAAATAATTGGATGATTTTTGAAATTTCATAGTAATTTTTAGCTACTCAATTGAAATTTTCGGGGAAAATGTTATTTTCTTGCCCTCTAAGCTACCTAATTCCCTCTTTAGATTTTTTGTTTATCACACTCATGCGCCCCAAGGTACTAACCACATTCATTGATTTTTTGGGCCTTTCCGAGAGAAAATTTTGTTCTGCTCACATTTCATCTGGGTATGTCAGATACTTATTACTGTTCATAGTCTTACACCTGGCCTATGATTGCAATAATGAAATTTTCATTGATGAAATATGTTATGATCAAAATCAAATCTCCAATCTTCACTTACTGCTGACATGTGTATGTACATATGTACGAGAAAGTACTGTGACACACACAAGCATGAGCAGATTTACAACCATACTTACGAGCTTGCTTACGAACTTTCCTTTCACATTCCTACTTTTGCATTCATATGTATATGCACGTACAAATATGTGTACATACATATATATGTACATACATATGTACACATATACTACTCAGAAATCTATTTCGTAAGTGCTCGTTGGGTACTAGAGTAAAATCCAAGACTATCTATTCCAAATTACCATCTTTAATAAAATTTGAATGATCTGCAGTTTTAGTGTTGGATGTGCTGGATAGATCCTGGTCAATGGAGTTGATAGCATCGCCTGAAGCCATTTGACCGACGTCGTTGGTTGTATTAATTTCGCCAGGCAAAAACTGAACGGGTACGGAGAGACGTTCATTTCATCCTTGGCCTTGCGAACTCTGCCAAACCCTTCAGTTTTGCCTTGAACTTCTGCTCGGCATTCCTATTTATGTTTAAAGTAAAATCCTTAATATCGTATGTATGTATTTCATTGTACTACAGCAGAAACAAAAAATCACTTTAAATTAGCAAATTTCTTGTTAACGAATTTGCTATGTACAAATTCACCGTCCGTTGGAAACTAAGAAAACTATCTACTCCCATACTTTTAGGCAGAAAGAGAAAACTTCCATGGAAACGGCTGGAAGTATAAAAATACCCCGATTGTTGCGCATACACTCCACATCACAAATTCCTCCCTCAAATTATTGTACATTATTGGAATGCAAATATGAGTTGCCGTATCGAAGCTAAAATAAAATGCGTCAAATAGTTTAAGAATAAGTATGGCTGATATTTTTTGATAAATAGTTTCCGCGTAGTAGGTATTTAGAGCACAAAGTGAAATTTACCGCCCTATTCCCACAAAACTGACAAAACTCAGCGGCTGACTATTGCATTTACTACTGCGCCTAATACTATGCCGCAAATTTATTTTAAGCTGTCGTATGATAATTGCCAGTTTTATTGTTATGACCTACTGAGTAAGTGACAACGGCGAAACAATGTTTACATTGTGTTTTAGGCGCGGTAATTGTGACAATAGTCATATGATGAATTTTGTCAGTGTTGTGGGAATAGGGCGGTTAAATTAAAAGTTCTGTTCGATGACAAAATTAGCCATCATCAGCCAAAAATCCAAATCAAGTGCTTAAGAGAAAATCCATTCTAAAACGTGAAGAGTTAACGAACAGAAAATTTGTAATCATTTGCAAAAACAAGTGCTTAAGAGAAAATCCATTCTAAAACGTAGAAGAGTTAACGAACAGAAAATTTGTAATCATTTGCAAAAACAGGAAGAAGTCCAAGCGATTGATTTGGTTTATGTTTTCTTTGTAAATAAAGATAACCTGAAAGTGACGTATTGGAAGAAATAAGTAGTGTGTCAATGTTTGATTTTTTAGTCAAATTCGCGAAATGATTTTGTGAATTTGCGTAGGCCAACGTAGTATTAGTAAGTATTATGATACAAAAAGAAGGTAGTTTCATTTCAAAATTTTTTATAAAAAACAATTTTTTGAGGTTTCATAAATTGTTCAAAATAATGAGTTACCTTGCCACATTGATAGGAATCAAACAATGTACAATATATTTTTTGGAGGGAGCGAAGGGGGAAGAGGTGTGGCACCTAAAAATCCAGTCATTAGAAGAGCACAGTTTAAAATTGAAGAGTCAACTTTCGCCTCCCTGCCGTTTCTACAGACACTCGGGTGCCCATTTGAAAATGGCGTAAAATTAGCATTTTCACAAAAAAATTAAACTCGTGTTGGTCCATCAGCAGTATTTTTGCGCAAAACTCCTTGCCCCGTTGGTGGCCATCGGCCGCACCAGAAAAAATAACCTCATCAGTCCAACTCCGGTTACGCTATCCACAGTATTTCTGCGCAAAATCCTAATCAAATCAAAAATGCATATTTCAAACCGAAATCTTTGTTTTAAATTAAAGCTTAATCGGGTCACGCGTTTGGACACGATAACCCAAAATCGTACAAATAACTGAACTGTAGTAGTTTTCAACTTATGTGGATAATGCTTGTCAAATATACATAGTATCACTTATACCATGTCCCCACCAAAAAGTTAACCATCTCAAATCGAACTTAACTCACTAACTATTGCTGTCCACACTGCGGTTTGAGGTTTATAAAATAGTACATATGTAAAGAACAGTGTTCGGACCTCAAAACTCCATTCAGGACTAAATCGCTGCAAGAATCGGAGCAAAAACAAATTTTCCGTACATGATTGAATTTTTTATTTTCGTTTCTGACATTAATAGTTTGACTTAAATATTTTCTATTCATGCAAAAATAAGAACGCGAGGCAATGTAAGGATAATATGTTATCTATTTAGGTAATTTTTAGCATTTTCTATAAAGTAGAACGTATCTAACACCTAATTTTTTAAAGAGAAACCCTTTTCTACTTTATATAAATTTCATTATACATATATTTTTTAACAACTTAAGTAAAGTTCTGCATTCGCCAATTTGGACAGCCATACATTAAAAAATAACGAAGTTACTTTGTTGACGCATTGCTATGAAAGAGTTACTTTTTAACGTGAGATTCGGCTAACTTTCAATTTTTTACCGAAACCGGTGGTGAACGCTCAAAAAACGGCCCCAAGAGCGGCATAACATGAATGAAAAAAAAACGGAAGAGATTTGAAGTCAAGCGGAGTAGAGGAGTAGATTTAAAATTTTTCAAAACCCGGAGGAAATCTAATCTAATCTTAGCTAAGTCCAAACACTAGTAAGGAACGAATTTTTTACATTTTCACGCTAATGACCCACAGATGGCGGGAAAACACAGGGTTGTATTAGACTTTCGACGTGGTTTCGAGTTGGTTAGCTTTTAACCAGCTCCATGAAATGGTTAAGTGCTGTCATTATTACCTTCCTTTTATTAGCTCGGGATGTAACTATGTAATATTGATGCGCCTAAAAGATGCAGCTATTTCTATTCTCAAGTGACAGTACGTATGGCAATTATAATAGGGAGGTTTTAGTTTCTTAAACTATAATTTTATTATATGGCGAAACTACGCTTAATGAAGTGGGTTATCGGGATAACCAAATCAACAGTCATAACTACGTGGTTAGTTCCGGTGGGGACATGATATTAGATGTATATATGTATGCATATATATTTTTTAGCAGCGGCACATCTTTATCAGAAAATTCCGAGAATCCAAAAATGTACAAGTTGCAGGGCATCATTTTAACTCGACCTCCTCCCTCTTCCACGAATAACGGCACCTCGTTTAAAAATACTTTGTGTCATACAACTTCACTAACTTCAATTATCTCGAAACAAAAATTTGCTACTAGTGAATCTGGTAGCATGATTTTAGTTAATTGTCATAAACTTGTGTTAAAAATCAAGTGGTCGGCAACAACAACGAATGTCAATAAATGAAACTACCTTCTATTTTTGTATCATGGTAAGTATCATAAAGTCACTAGAGCTGGGATACTATCGATAGTAATATAGTAATATCGATAGTTGAAAACTGTCGCCACTATCGATAGTTTTTGAAAACTATTGATGTCGGTTTTAGCGAAGCTTCTCTCTTTACATCTCCTAACATTATATTATTATTTTTTTATCCAAGAAAGTTCACAATACAGTCGGCAAAAAAAATTTTTTAGTTATTGGAATGTTTAGCAACTATAAGCTTACACTGAGTTATAGTAAAATTTGATAAGCTATAAAACCGCTTACACAAAATTTTTATAGAAATTCGAATTAAAAAGCTTGAAATTTTAATGATTTTGTAGTTTTTTATGCTTTGTACAACTTTTGTAAAAATTAGTAGATACTAAACAAACAAAAAATAGCCAAACTGCTAAAAATGTTGTGGTGCTCTTATTTTGACCAGTACTTTATTCGTTTTCTTATAATATGGTAAAATGTTAATAATTTCCTTTGTCCGGATTTTGATATGCGCCTCCGTATTTGATCTGAGTTGAATTTTATAAGTATGAGTTGTCAATTTAAACGAATATCTTTTGTTTGGTTTGTTTTGTGGTATTAGAAATGTATTATAATAGCCAGTTTCACTTCTTTGCACTTCAAAAGGGACAAACATATCTATGTATATATAATTCAGACGCATAAATTAATAAGTTTATTTTATTATTATAAGTAGTTTTTTCGATGCACTCAAATTTAAACAAATGTATATAATCTCTTTAATTGACAGAGTAATTTATAAGTTTTCTAAATTTATTAATTATTTAATTTTCAAGCAATTTAGCATTTCAATTCAATACCTCTCACGACGATATTAATATCGATATTTTCAATTATCGCTTCGAAAACTACCGAGTGGGGGTACCCAGCTCTAAAAGTCACTTTCAAACGATCGAAAAGTATACATACATACACTACGTTCAAGCGACAGAATTCATGAATTCTCCATTTCATGAATTCAAAAATGATTCCGTTTAAGCATAATTCGCCAATTTATGTAATGAAGTGGTCGGCCGCTGTGGTGTAGTGGTAAGCAGTGCGCGCTTTCACTCATCAGCACCTGGGTTCAAACCCTGGTCAAAGCAACATCGAATAAATATAGAAAATAGGTTTTTTATTAACAGCGGTCGTCCCTCGACAGGCAATGGCAAACCTCTGAGTGTATTTCTGCCATGAAAAACAGCTTCTCATGAAAATACAATCGCCGTTCGGAGTCGGCGTAAAACGGTAGGTCCCTCCGCTTTGTGTGACAACATCAAGGCGCACGCCACAAGTCGGAGGAGAAGCTCGGCCAAACACTAACATATGTGTAAGCGCCAATCTATTATTATTATTATTATTATTATTATTATTATGTAATGAAATGAAGTGTGGAAGTGACAGCGCACTAGCGAGACACTAAACAGTAAGTTTGTGATTTTTTGGCCGTTGTTTGAATTTGTAAAAGCCGTTGTTTCCAGGAAACGGAATGTATTTGAATTTATTTTATATTTGAATAAATCCACATTACTTTTCCCGACTTTTAAATCACGGTTATGCCCCATGATGCAATAATACAAGGTGGTATCAGTTGCGACAGCTCGATTTGACACTGCCTTAGCTCAGTAGAATAAGAAGAAAAACGGGAATAAATTAATCCCCATTTGGGGAAAAATATAAAATTTCATATTTTCTTCTAAACAAAATTAGCTTTTTTATAGTGGCTGAATTTCTTTATTCATTCTGAACGTTTGGAATAAACTTTTTTGTTTACTTATTCTTTAGAACGTTCCTGATGATATGTTAACGTATATTTCAAAAGCATTCTGTTTATTCCGGCTGTGAAATGGGATTATCCGGAATGTATAAAGAAACGCAGCCAGTATATTCGTAATGAAATAAAATAAAATAAGATAAAATACCTTTTTAAGAAAACAAAATAAAAACATTCAACTATATTGTTAGGCAAAGAATTGTTAAAGAGGTAACACTGTTTCACCTAAGGCAGTCAATATGGCGGAATTAGAGCGAGAAGCTGCCAAGCGATAACACCTTGTATTATTGCATCATGGTTATGCCCTACATGAATCTAAAAACATCCTAACCCTAGTACACAGCTGTTTGTGAACCGTGGCGTTACCGAACTTGTTGTTCATGATTCC